ATTTTATTTTATTTTTTTAAACAGAAATGTAAACTTAATGAAACGTATGTTTATTACCTGCTTAAAGGCTGTTCATTTCAGACCTCATCAGAATCCTAATATCCTAGGTTTTTGACCGTGCCTGAACACTCTCTCTCCGCAGGGGGATTTCCGACACAAGTCGTCATTTGTGATCTGATGATGGAACAAGGACAGTGAGGGCTGCCGCGCTCCGAGTCGTGACACGCGGGCCCGTCCTCCATGCCGCTGCACCGCCGAGCTGCAACAGGCCGAGCTCCGGAGTTCGCAGCGGGACTGAAACCCAACCACTCAAACTTGCCAAAGGTGACAGGAGCTCGCAGGCCACAAGATGTACAAAATATTATCACCCTCATTTGAGTTTTGTTTGCTAAATTATGGTTCTTCATTTCCAGTCATTGCATGGTTTTTAACATAAGCTGAGGAGGCAGGAAGGAAGCATCTCTGATGTGCCAGGTAGAAACGGAGGAGGCAGTCTATCATGTCAACTTTCTACTGTAAACATTTAGCTTTTGTCATTTGTATAACATTTGTTTTCTACTGTTGAAACACTATTTTTGATGGAATATATTTTAAAATGCCTATAGATAAAAGTTTACTTTTTTAAATATTTGTAATATACTAACATGTGTGTAGGGTTTTTTTGTTTTGTTTTGTTTTTTCTTTGGTTGTGGATAAAAGTTTTTAACACTTTAACCACTTTGTGTAAAGCTGTAAAGCATTCTCACCTTCTCAAAAGAAAGACTTGCTGCTTCCACGTCCAGAAGTAAAACCCCGATGGCCGCTCTCACTTACCGAGTCGCTCCACCCGGTCCGCGTTACAGTGACAAAACTTCCACGTTCGTGTTCGTAGATAGTCTTAGCGAGAGGCTTCGGTGAGCGCCGTGAACACCGTACCAGTCGGCGCTGCGTGTTTTCTCATTTTAAGTGTCCTTCAATGCTTACGGTTTAGTCCTGTGTGTGTTGCAGTTCCTGTCAGGATAGAGTTTGCCGTCGTACGCTGCAGTATGTGTTGAGTGTTACACCGTAGCAGTGAGAGTGACGATAACACAGAGTTTGTAAGTTAACCTTCCAGAACCAGAGGAACCCAAACAAAACTGCTGAAAAGCTCGATGTGGTACCGGCGGGGGTCTCTATGCAGTCCGGAAACGTCTGGAATTTGATTCCAGTGTACAAATTTGTTGTTTTCCAGACTTTATTCCCCATCCAATTGACTAAGCGTTGTGTCCGCCCTCATGTCTTTTCCAGGCCTGTCACAACAACACATTTTGCTGGACTGAAAATTGCCCCAGAAATTACTGCAATGAACAACAATATTGTTGGTTTGAGACGATTTTCAACTTATTTGTTGATAATGGCCTAGTAACGCAAGTATGCAGTCTCTTTACAGAACACTTCATACTGGAACTAAAAGATATTTTAAATAACCAAAATAAAACACAACACTCAAAAACACAAATTTACTTGATTATGATGCCTCCACTCAAAATTGGCCTTCAAAACATGTAAATCATCAGAATTGAAATTATTAAGCTCATTTTAATTTACCATGTGATCCATGGCTGTTGTGACAGGTCTGGTCTTTCCCTTCTTCTCCTGTTCTCTTCACTTCTGCCCCCTTCAGTCTTTCATTCGTTCCATCCTTCCTCCGTGCTTGAAAATCATAAATATCATCTTAAAAAACGAACACTGAACTGCAGTATTCAACATCTTAAGTAAACGTCAAGAACTAAATATGGAAAAACTCTGGGATTTCCAGAGAAAACCTGTGTGGGAACCTTGTACTTATTTTTAATTCAGCTAAGAAAAAGATGTCTTTTAAAGACGGCTAAATAACAAATTTAACAAGAGGAATAGCTCATCAGGACCTAGTTCTATAGCTAGACTCCACTTTGTCCAAACTGCATACTAACATCAGTCATCTCTGTAGCTTTCATAGTGCACAAAGCTAAACATGGAACAAAGACTGATAAAGCCCTGGGCTGCACCAACAATCCTTCAATCTGGAAAAAGTCTGATTCTGGTTTGAACAAACCAAGGAAGATTCAGTTAAATCAGAGCAGGTTCTCCCCAACACCCACGGCAATTTAAATGCGTAAAGTGCAGTAAACGCAGGACGATCATGAGATGGATTTAGTTTAGTTAGTTCCTCAACTAAAATACCAGAAAACTGCAAAAACACAAAATCTTACCAAGGATTTTTGGTCCACTCTCTAGTGCAAATATCTTAGTGCACTTGAAA